GAGAATTATAAAGGGGTGATGTTGATCAAGATGCATTGTACTTATAAATTTATTTGTCGAATGGTAACTCCTTTGTACAACTACCTAAAGATAATAAAAATATAAAACTTAAATATATAATATATGATATATAAATATAGGTAATATAAATATATATTATATATAATATACATATAAATAATATAAAAAATAAAACTTGGAAGAGGCAAAGCCAAACAAAGAATGTGAAATCATATACTATCTGTAGATTTTGACATGCTTCTCTCAATTTTGGGTGGAAGAATAACCCTCTCAGTCCGCTTGACTTCCTCAATATGTATAGAATACTATTCAATAACTGTAGAAAACATATCATTCTCACATGTACATAGGACATTCATTAAGAATATAGAAAATATCAAATATTTAAAAATTAGAACAAAGTAATTTTAAGAAATTCAGTAGGAAGAGGAAATCTAAGCATAAATATATGATGTTGCAGTTAACGATAATGTATTAGAAGCATAAAGTTTATTACTCTTATAACTGAAGTTTATAATTTTATAAAATCTATTGTAAGAACTCATAACAATTTTGCAAACTCTTTCAAAATAAACATTCTACTTCTGGAGTCTAACTACTAAAACTTGTTAAAGATACCACAAGTATAAAAAAGTAAAATTTGGTATTATTTACAAATATATATATATACAGTAATATAATTAATAAAAATATAAAGCCCATATATATGCATATATATAATATATCATTATATAGAGTATATCTTGCCATGGAAAAGTCTACCAACTCAGTCAGCATATTCACAAAATAAGTAAGACAATATAAAATCAGTTTCAGCACATATTGTATTAGACAACCAATTGAATACATTAAAGTAATAAAATAGAAAGATAGAAATATGAGATGGAAATGAGAATATGACTGTCATGAAAATGTAATCATCAAGACAACTATTAGAAAATCAGAGCTTAGAAATGTTACAATAAAAAGTTAATACACTAAAGTCAATTTTATTTTTATATTCTAAAACAAATAATTGAAAACCCAAATTGCTCAGGAATATATTCAATAAAAGATGCACAAGATTTTATATTCCATTTAGAATGCTCTACTCAAAGGACAAAAAGTAAGAAATGCTGGTGAGGATAAGAAAAAGGAACTCTTATAAACCGTTGGTGGGAAAATAAATTAGTGCAACCACTATAGAAAACAGTACTGAGGTGCCTCACGCATCAAAAAATAGAACTATTCAGTTCTAAGTAAATATCCAAAGGAAATGAAATCATTATACCAAAGAGACACCAAAGCACACCCATGCTTTCAGTGATACTATTCCCAACAGGCAAGATATAGAATCAAGATAGCAATTCATTAATCAATGAATGGATTTTTAAATTATACATATAGACAGTCACATTTATAAAATTCACATGTATATGAGAATTTCAAGATCTCTAACATAGAGAACTGGTCATATTTGGTATATGGAAATACTAATTATCCTGATTTGATTATTAAATGCTACATGTATCAAATTACCATCTTGCACCACACAAATAAGTGTGGTGGATCAGACACAAAATTTAATTAAATGTGATTTTAAAAGGCAAACGATTTGAGCAGAGTATGAAAAAACATAAATGGACCATAACTACAGAAAATGTGTCAATATAATCAATCATCACAATAGGCAAATTAAATCACCATTGAGACACCAGAAAAAAATATTGATAAGTGAAATAAACAGGACTCTCAAATATTATTGGTGAAAATGCAATATAGTACAATCACTTCACAAAACATCCAGCAGTTCTTTTAAAACTCAGCTTACACTTGACCAGTATTCTTTTTTTTTTTAATTTTATTTGTGAACATGCTGTACAGAGGAGTTACAATTACATGAGCAGGATAACGCGTACATTTCTTACCAAGCATTGCAGCCTCCTCCTTTGTTTACCCTTCACATCCCTTCCCCGCCTCCCCCCTCCCCCCCAATCCCAATCCTTCTCCTTCCCCCCTCCCCCCCCCCACCGATGTTGTAAAGCTCGTTTTGGACATGACAACTTGTACTTCTCATTGTTGCAACAGGTCCACCTGTATCCTTAAACAACTGGTTTTTCCCCATCTCCTCCACAAGTTATACTGACATCAAATATAGTGAAAGCAGGGGTTATACTGTGGGGGAGGGACATACAAAGCAACAAAGAGATAATCTTATAAATGCGTTAGAAACACATGTATGAAAGGAAAAAACATTAAAATACACATCTAACGGTTCATTTTCCTGACATCACATTATCTGACCTTTTCTGCTTGACTCATACATATACTAGATATTACAAATAAGGGAAACCATGGGACCTATGTTTCTTTGGGCCTTTGACCAGTATTCTTATCCCTTTGCCTTTACTCAAGAGAAATGGAAATATATGCTCACAATAAGAGCTGTTCGCAAATGTTCATAGTAGGTATGAAAACTAAACACTAAGAAGAACAGAGGTGTCCATGAATAGCAGGAGGAAAACTCATTTCGTCAATAGACTATTGCTCTGCAATAAAAAGAGATAAGCTATTTCTTCTGAATTCAACAATGTGAATAGATCTCAAAAGCAAGAATAGGTTTAAAGAACCCTTACAGAGAAGAGTGTATATAGCATAATGCAATTTATATGAGGTTCTGGGATAGACAAAACTAAGCTATGCTGATAAAAACAGAAGTCAGAATAACGGCTGCCTTGGGGAGGACATGCTGTTAGTGACTCTAAAGAGCTATAGGACAATTTACATGGAGTGTTTCTCTCCCCTCAAAGCTCATGTGTTGAAATCCTCACCCTCAATGGATTAGGATATGGTGTGTTTGGAAGGTGATTAGGTCATTACTCAAGAACTGGATTACGCCTGTAATCCTAGCTACTCAGGAGGCTGAGATCTCAGGATCACGGTTCAAAGCCAGCCCGAGCAGGAAACTCCAGGAGACTCTTATCTCCAATAAAGCACTAGAAAACCAGAAATGGCTCTGCTGGCCTTGAGCTGAAGAGCTGAGGGGACAACGCCCAAGCCCAGAGTTCAAGCCCCATGACCGACAAAAAAAAAAAAAAAGAACTGGATTAGTAGGACATCAAAGTATTCTTCTTTCTCCTGTGATAAGCACAGAAGATGGTAATCTGCAATCCAGAAAAAGGCCCTCACCAAAATTCAATCATGCTGCACCCTAATCATGGACTTCTAGCTTCCAAGACTGAGAGGAATAAATTCGTGTTATTTAAAGTCTTTAATCTATTCTAATTGTTTATAGAAGTTTGAACTGGCAAAGACTTCCTCTTCAATGGTAATTCTGGAGGTAACGGTAATGTTGCATTTGTCAACATTCAGGGAAGGCACAGTAAGATTTGTGCATTTCATTGAACATAGTCTTACTTCAAGAGAAAAAAAATAAAAATTGAACTATGGTTAATGGCATGCATGATGAAATATTTAGAAGAAAATGACTGTACTTTACTTTGGAATATATCAAATATATATATATCAAATAAAATTCACAAATTGATAGAGAAGTGAGTAGCTATGTACCAAGTATATAGCAAAATGCTAGTGGTAAAAAAATATTAGTGATGAGTATAGAGATACCATTGTAAAATTCTTTAAATATTTCTCTATGTTAAATGACTCTTGAGATTCTATAGAGACAAACAGTAAACATTTTTGAAAGTACACTTTTAGTGGCTGAGAAGGTGGCTCAATGGTAGAGTGCTTGCCTTGCATGCATGAGGCCCTTGGTTCGATTCCTCAGCACCACATAAGCAGAAAACGCTGGAAGTGGCTTAAGTGGTAGAGCGCTAGCTTTGACCTGAAGAGCTGAGGGATAGCACCCAGGCCCTGAGTTCAGGCCCCACAACCAAAAAAAAAACAAAACAAAAAAACCACACTTTATAAGTTTAGTACATGCAGTTTTACCAAACATAACAAAATAAATAAGTAAAGCAAGGGAGCAAGCAAGAAATAAATTTCAAATAAAAATATACTAACACCCCAACTGTATCATGCAGCTCTTTTAAAGTGGAAAGACTCTCAGGCATTTCCACATTATCCCAGGTATTTTTAAATTGTATTTCCTTGTCCTTAATTTTTGTGAAAATATGCTTCCTGAAGAGCAAATAGTGACCCCAAAGCAAGGTGAAAGTTAGTATGCTTAAGCTCAGTAAAAATTTTAGATTTGCTGAAAGATAGCATGTCTTAAGCAGACTCGAATGGCAGTATAGGAAAACCAAATCTGGCATCTACAGCAACAGCAAGGAGCTCTGCATTCTGGGAATTTGTGGTTGTTTTCCTCAGTAGTAGTCTCCATGGACCCATATACCATGGCTATCACCAGTCTTCTGTACATTCAAATTTTCCCAGAGGAAAAATTCAATGAAATTTAGTTCATATTTTGAGAGCAAAGAAACCCCATCTGCTTGTGGAAGAACTAGTGTTTGATACATGCCTACATTAAAGAGCCAAAGTGTTTCTATAATTGAAAAAACAAACAAACAACTAATCAGTAGAAAGATCTTTGATGTTGTCTAAAAAAGAACTCATTTTCCTGTTTCTTGTGAGTTGATTTATAATGGCATACTTTGTTGTAAGGATGATGATTAGAAATATTCAGTGATTATAACTTAATGTACATTTATACCAAGAGAGCCTCAAACAGATCTTATCAATTTTCACAAATTTTCACAGATCTTATACAATTTTCACATACATATATCATTTCTAGGAGTTTTGTATCTTGTTAAGTAGACATTTGATTTCAAAATATAATTATATTAACGTAAGTTAATATAATCACAGGGAAACTAAAAAACTATGAGCCCTTTAAAATAACACTAGCATTTCCCTGCTTTAACATTTAATTTTATCTAGCATGTTCATGAATGCGTGTATGTGTATGTGTTTATTTATTCTCATATTTGCAAAGCTCTGAGAAGCAAGAATGCTCTGCCAAGGTTATACATTACCTCCAGTATAGGGTTTCCAGTTATAATACTTTCCTCGGAAAGGCATATTGTCAAAGTCTGCACACTGTTTTTCTCGAAAATCTCGGGAACCCAAAGGGCATGGCTAAAATAAAATAAAATCATAAATGGTACCATTGTTGTAAAATGCCAAAACCAAGGGACAATGTCCCTAAAATTAAAATCACAGAACTCCATTGGATTAGCTAATCTGCCTTTTTTTCTGGTTGTAATTCTGGAATTTATCATTTTACAGTAAGTATTCAGATAGAAGTGTCTGAATTGTCATGATAGCCATTAAGGAAATAAAAGCTAAATGTTAGCTGCCATATCATTTTACACTTGAATGCATGTCCTAGTCTACTTTGTAATCAACCCATCAAGTGTCTTCTTATAAGCACATACAAAAGCTAAAGGAAGAAACTAAGACACAAACGTTGTTTTGCTAACAATATTTTGAGGACCAGGTTCCATAGTCATAGGTCTTTAAGAGTCAGGGCTATAATGACATTCAGCACTATGAATTGGTTTGGACCTCTACTGTTTACGGACAAAAACTATCTTTTAAATGAGGAATGAACCAGGTAAAATGCCAGGCCTCAAGTCCAAATACCTTCAAATTCCAGAAATTTGGACTTACTAAGATTTACATTTCATTTATTTTACAGAAAATAACACACTAAGTTCGTGTAACACATATACATGCTTTGTGGAGGGTAGGGAAAGACATTGAGAGGGTGAAGCAATGGTCATCAGCTCAGAAAAACTTGAAATGCTTCTTCTCTAAGAAAATTTTTCTTTCTATTCTGTTTTGTTCTTAGGTCTGAGACTGGGACTCGAACTCAGACCAGTCACTTTTGCTCATTAGCTAGCTCTCTACCAACTGAGTTACATCCTCCAACCCCATCTAACAAATTATATAAAGAGAAAAATCTTGCTAACCTAGCTAGACCTAAATTCCAAATACCACAAGATTATCCTAAACTCAAATTCTAAGTATTAAAGGATTTAAAAGTATAGTCTATCACAGTGTTTGAACAACATGAATTAATTTATCTTTGAAAGTCCTATCACTGGAGCATTTAAAAATCAGAGTTACTGATTTTAAAACATGGAGAAAACATTCTCCTTACATATGAAGCATAGTATGTTGTTAGGTAAATTTCTTACCATATGTCATTATTAATGACAACTATGTTATAGGCATCCCCAGAGATCATCTAGAGGACCTTTCTAGTACTTTCCTTTGGAATTGTACATTTGTGCAATATGATTTAAAAAATATAATTTAAAAAATATAATTTAAAAAATATTGGTAGCATGCCTATACTCTATTATGAAAAAAGAGCCTTGAATCTTAAAAAGCATTTAGCACATTAAATGATGACACTCTCAAACTGAAACCTAATGAATATTCTGATCAAATTGCCTTTCTTATGTGCCTTTAATAAAAATATTACTCAAAGCTATTCACCATAAGCTCTAGAAATAACATGTAGAAGAATATAACTGCAGTTGTTTGTGCTAGTACTTGGAACTTTTAGAATTCTATGGATTAAAGGAATGCTTTCCTTTTCTACTATTTTTCAAGAATCCCACATAAGAATTGAAGTTGTTAGTTGATTTTCCATGCACCAAAACTACTTTTAAAGCAAAAATACCAATTTCAAACACTATAGGTAATATGAAGTGTAGGTACAAGCTTTCACACGGTTGCGTGGCAAGCAATACTCAAGGGTTGGTAATGCACCAACCTTAACAGTTCATCCAATACCTTTTACACTATTGGAAGAAACAAGACACAAGTGGGGGAAAAACTACAGAATGATTTCAAGCAATATAAAGAGTATATGACAACATCTTTCAGTTGTCAGTTGATACTGTGCATAGGTGAAAGAAGGATGTATCAGGGAAATACTGATTGAAAAAGAAAACCTTGAATATGTTCCAAATTATTGCAGTAATTGAGAGATTTAAAACAAATGATTTTGGAAAAAGAGGGGTTCTATTAAGAAAGAAACCAAGTAAAGCAACAGAGACCAGAAGGAGAAGATTATATGTTAAGGATGATTAGAGAAAGGCCATCTTAGATGAAAGAGAGGAAATGCAAAGAAGCATAAGAGGAAATGACATTCCATAAATAAAATCCAGGCCACGCCAAAGTTCTTAACTAACAAATGAAGGCAGCATGAGGGACATTCACTAAAAGTAAACAAATACAAATACTATTTTTCAATATTTTCTAGGAATTCTCCTAAAAAAAGAAAAGTAAAAAAACTGATAGAAGGATATAACTGTTTGATGAAGCACTTAGGTAATTTTTGGTAGAACAAATCCTCTCTTGTCCTGTGATCAGCATGTAACAATACAGCAGTGGCTGCTAGTACCTGCTCCATGACATGCCCATCACAACGTGCTACCCATCCTCTTAACACTTTTGTGAAGTAGTCAGTACTACTAGTCTCATTTTATAAGCAAAAGTAAATGGGTACAGAAGGGTTGATTAGTAGAAATTTCAGAGGGCAGGGACACCTTCTATATCTGAATGGGAGCATCATCAGGACAATCCAACACAACAACAAAAACAAGGATTGATATGTAAATGAATAGCCACATCTGTCTGGCAATGAAAATAGTTGTAAAAAGAGATGACAAATCAGATTTTACGTGAGAAGCACAGTTTAGCAAGCCCTGGTTTAGTGTGTCAATATAACAACTACTTTTCTGGGTAACATTTTGTAGAAGAACCAAAGTGACATTCATTTTTGAGCTAACACAGAAACATACCTTTCAAGAACTGATGTTTTGGGCTGGGAAGGTGGCTCAGTGGTAGAGCACTTGCTTTGCATGCCTGAGGCCCTGTGTTCGATTCCTCAGTACCACATAAGCAAAAAGAAGAAAAGCTGGAAGTGGCGCTGTGGCTCAAATAGTAGAGCACTAGCCTTGAGCTGAAGAGCTGAGGGACAGCGCCCAGGCCCAGAGTTCAGGCCCCACGACTGGACCCCCCCTCCCCCCAAAAAATGAGCTGCTGTTGCACAAGATGACTACACTTTGTGTACAGTTATCTACAGAATAGTTATACTGTTCAAGCCCCATGACCACCACCAACAACAACAAATACACATTCTGGATATTCCTTTTTTTTTCATTATCAAATGCATTTTCACTTCATCTTTATTACACTAGACCCACCTTCAACACACTCAAATTCTAATGTTTTTCTTCCTCTTTAGGAAAGCAACACATCTTAGCAGTTTGTATTCTGATGGTTGGAGACTGTTTAAAATCCACCCTCTGCTGCTTAGCAAGTCATGGCATTGACAAGCTAGTGCTGTTCTCCTATATGGACATCTTTGTCTAAGTTACACAAAGATACTATGTGGGCTAATAGAAGCTTTGCTTCTATACTAAATCTTTAACAAGTTGCAAACAAAATTCCTGAGTCCAGATTATTAGATACTCTCTGGGTGTCTAATTTATTTCCAAAGTTAATTTTGGTGGCCAATGTATAGAGAGAATCATATTGATCTCAGTTTTGGTTTAACTTTCTCATTTTGTCCCCCCAAACACTTATTCTTTAGAAGTATGTGTGTAAGTACGTGTGTGTGTGTGTGTGTGTGTGTGTGTGTATGTGTGTGTATCAAACAGTACCTTGTGCATTCTAGATGAACATTCTACCAGAGCTACATTTCCGGCCTTTAATTTAAAAAAAAAAAAACAAAAACAGAAGTCTGTCAACTCACATTGTCCGAACTTGAGTCCAGTTTGATACCACAACCTTCTGTACATGTTTTTTTTTACTTTTATATTCCATGTGTACTCTGGACTTTAAATGATATCAATCCATAACCTAAATGTTCCTCCTCACTCCTCGGCCTATAAAAATGTTAAGAAATAAATGTACTTTGCAAGTTTCAAGTGTCTTAAAGAATAATTTTTTAAAAAGTTCTATTCTGTGTAGTAAAACCTAATCCTAAACCAGGTTTTCTAGCTATTTGGAAAGCTGAGATGGAAAGGATCATGGTTCAAGTTGGGTACAGTGTTGTGTTCCTGTCGTCCCAAGGCTGAGAGCAAGAAGATCACAGTTCCAAGCCTGGGCAGAAAAGTCCACAAGAGTCTCTCTCCATGGACGGAAGCTGGGCACTGTGGCAGGTGCCTGTGATCTCAGCAAAGATGTAACAGATCACAGCACAGGTGTGTACCCAGGTGAGAAGTGAGACCCTATCTCAAAAATTAGCCAGCATAAAACAGGGATGAGGCATGGTTCAAATGGTAAAACTCCAACCTAGCAAGGTGTAACACTTTGAGTTCAAACCCCTGGACTGCCAAAAACAAACTAAAATGAAATCCTTAAAATACTGAAGAATAGTTATAAGTCATCAGAACAAAAAATTTCAGGAAAATAAAAATATATGATTAGTGATTAATATGTCTATATGCAAGTCAAAGGACATTTCACAGAGATAATAATAAAAGGCCTATTGCTAAGCAACTCCTGAATAAACATTTCTTCAGAAGATTAAATACAGAACAAGGGCCTGCAGTAGCCCTGTCAGATAATTATGTTAGTTCCTACCTTTGTACAATGATAAAAACTATCAGGACCTAATCAGCCCCTTATCACTATGTCCTCTGTTTCTGGAATCAATGAAACCTTAACACTATCATTTACATAAAATTCTGCCTTCCAAACCTAAGTTCCAATAGGACAAACCTACTGGATGAAGTCCTCCTAATTAGTTCATGATGCCAAATACATAATTGTTGTTTCTGGTTTAATGGTAAGACCACACTTCATTCAAGTCTATATGCTTTGAATAAATGTTCCTGATTTCTTTATAACTTCAAGATTAATTTGACTTAAAAATGACTGTTGGCTTTACCTACTATTCTGGTTTGGAAACCATTGTGTAAAGAAGGGGTCCCTGTCTAGACTTCTTAGTGTGACATAGGGCGAAGTATAGAACAAATTACCTATCCAATACACTCTAATGCAAAAAATTCAGCGTCAGTACAGCATCTGAATAGGCTGGTTATTTTGCTATTAAGAGGGAATAGCATCAGCCATGGTAGCCGGTGTCCACATAAATTGTTTTAGAGTTGTTA